CGTTTAGAAAAGTGCAGGTCATGCTTGCATGCTCCAAAAACGTTAGAGAGTGACGTGAAAATAATAATAATGACAGCAATTTTAATAATAATAATGATAATTACTTTTTATCAACCAACATTACAAACATCACTTCACAATATGAAGCTGTCATCGAAGAGTCAAAGTACATGATATGTGCAGCCATTATATTGATAATAACAAAAGTATTAAAACTAATAATATGTTAAGACTAATGAAGAAATACCAACAGGGAACGGTAATAATACTGAACAAATAAAAAAAAAGTTCAGCATGTAAGCATCAGTAATATTTGAACTATTACAGTCATTCAGATTTATGTTACAAAAATACAGAAATACAATACACTATTATGTTTTAGAACACATGGAATCGAAATTTGTATTAATCTCATTGGTTACGAAAGTTTGACACTATGTATCAAGTTTGAGCACTTCCGTGAAATGAGTTGCATCATCTTAAACCAAGAGAGTGACATTACCCTCAAGGCGATGACAATTTACAAACAAAAAGGGTCTGTTCAATAAAATTTCTAATCACAACCAGATCATGACCAGAGATATTCTACCCAGCAACAGCGAAATAATCGACAGATGCAAAGACTATAGAAGATTCGAAATCAGCGAAGTACTACATATTAAACAATCTCAACCAACTATTAAAACCAGCTAACGTTCAAATATATTATACTATCCTAAAGACAAAGCAAGAATATCGAGCATACTGACCCAGTCAACATAGCACAGAAGAATGGGGAACTGCAAACGGCCTATCGGCCCATACGCCTTTCTTTACCCTTCTTGGTTATATATACGATTGCCCTAGCTCATTTGTATGCACCTCATTCACCTTTGCCTTTGAAAATGTTTAAAGATTCAACGAAATCTTTCTCATAGGTTGAGGCCATATGAAACTGTAAAATGAACTTAGGAGAGTTGATTTCTCTATTACCTTCTTAAATGAAGAACATAATATGAATATGAATAGATTCGTGAAGGAATCATTGATCGATTCCTTTCTCTCATATTCAATAATAGATGTCTGTGTATGTACATATGCTTCAGTGTGCATGTGTGTACTCACCTAGTTGTGCTTGCTGGGGTTGAGCTCTGGCTCTTTGGTCCCGCCTCTCAACTGTCAATCAACAGGTGTACAGGTTCCTGAGCCTACTGGGCTCTATCACATTTACATTTGAAACTGAGTATGGAATCACCCTCCACCACATCACTGTCTAATGTATTCCATCTGTTAACTACTCTGACACTGAAAAAGTTCTTTCTAACGTCCCTGTGGCTCATTTGGGTACTCAGTTTCCACCTGTGTCCCCTTGTTCGCGTACCACCCGTGTTAAACAATTTATCTTTATCTACCCTGTGTGTGTGTGTGTGTGTGTGTGTGTGTGTGTGTGTGTGTGTGTGTGTGTGTGTGTGTGTGTGTGTACAACTGTGTGTGTGTGTGTGTGTGTGTGTGTGTTGTACACACCTAGTACAACTGTGTGTGTGTGTGTGCGTGTGTGTTTGCGTGCGTGCGTGCGTGCGTGCGTGCGCGTGTACTTACCTGTCATTGACTACGGGGGAGCGAGATCTACCTCTTTATGCCCCGTCTACTAGCTTTGATGTAACTGTTGTGTTATGATTTAACTGTTTTTACGTTCGAGTTCTCTTTTTTCTAGTCTGGCCTTAAAGATGTGGATGGACGTAGCTTTCACCACTTCATCTTTCAGTGTGTTCCACTTATGGACCCACTACACAGTGTGCGAGAACTTTTTTCTATTTCATGGACTCATTTGCGTTTTCAGTTTTCACTTATGTGCTCCTATCTTACTTTGTGTATTTTTAAAGAGGCTGTCTTTCATCATCTTTACCCAATTCCTCTCAGTATCTTATATTTTGCGATCATGTCTTATTTCCTCTCTCTTCTAGGGTTGTGAAACCTAGTTTCCTTAATCTATCCTCATAGTTAAGCTCTCTTAGCTATGGCACTAATTTGACTGAAAATCTTTGTATCTTTTAACTTAAGGTTCCGTGCTTTACACGACCTTGTGGAGCGCCGGGATTGCAGGCCGTTGCTGTACATTCCAAGATTGTCTTAAAGGAGCCCTTTTTTAGGTTCCTAAACGACGTCCTAATGTCCACAGAATTACGAGCCTCGTGTGCTGTCCGCTCAGCAACCAGACCCCCACTAGGAGGGGGTCTGGTAGTGTGTGTGTGTGTGTGTGTGTGTGTGTGTGTGTGTGTGTGTGTGTGTGTGTGTGTGTGTGTGTGTGTGTGTGTGTGTGTGTGTGTGTGTGTGTGTGTGCTTATCTAGTTATATGCTAGTAACTGTAAACGATATTAAACAGTGCGGTTCTATACTCAAGGACTTCTTCAACGTGGCAATTGTATATTCATCAGCAAAGCAATATGCGTACTCTGAAAGTTAATATAATGGTTAATTTATAACGAAGTCACATCATGCAGATCACAATGGTAATACTGTCATGACCAAGGGCGGCCTTTCTCTAGCGTATATAAGCTCTTGTTGGGCATCCATTACCACAAGTCTTACTGCAGACGCCAAGATGAAGTTTGTGAGTACTTCGCTCTGTTGAAATAGCTGGAAGATCTTTGTTCTTGTGTTTGCTTAAGTTCATCAGTGTATATAAGTGAGCAAAGACTTTCTTTCTGAATTTCATAAGAAATGTCTACTTGAGTGAATGCATGGCATAGATTGAGTAAATATATGTAAACTCTTTGTTTACATTTTTTGAGCTGAGTTAATGTAAAATGTATTTGCTCCTTTCATTATATGTATTCACTCAATGTTACTCAATTTGAGTCATCATTGTTAAATGCAAATGAAAAACTTTTATTAAATCAAAACGACATACATACACGAATTACTTGAAATAAAAGTCCGTCAATCTTCCGTTGCAGGTGATCCTCGCTGCCGCCGTCGCCGCCGTGGCCTTCGCTGCCCCTAAAGCCAACCACCTGGCTGCCCCCCCAGCCTCCGCCCCGGCTGCCCCCGAAGCCTCCGCCCCCGCTGCCCCAGAAGCCTCCGCCCCGGCTGCCCCCGAAGCCCCCGCCCCGCCTGCACCCAGTACCACAGTTGTGCCCATCCTTAAGGACGATCGAACAAATGACAACGAAGGAACGTTTACCGTCAACGTGGAGACTGGCAACGGTATCTCCCTGTCCAGGTCTGGCTCCCCCACCGGTACTAACGGCTCTGTGGTCCAGACTGGACAATATTCGTGAGTATTCTTGAATATTTAAATTCAAATACAATGATAATAAATAAATATGAGGTTAATGATAAATAAATATGAGGATAATGTTTAATAAATATGAGGGTAATATTTAATAAATATGACAGTAATATAAAATAAATATGATAATATTAATTAAAAGTGAAACAAATAATATTAATAATAATATTTATTTAATAATAGCTTCCTGTGTAGAAATAATTAATATCTCATGTCTCCTCCGGCAGCTACACAGCCCCTGACGGCACCCCAGTCAAAGTGACGTTCGTCGCCGACGAGAACGGCTTCCAGCCCCAGTCCGACATTATTCCAGTGGCTCCTGCCTTGCCCCACCCAATGCCCCAGCTCGCGCTGGACCAGATCGCTGCGGGCGGAAACGTTGTTCCTGTCGTCGAGGTCCCTGAAGAAAGGAGTGCTCCTCCGGCCTTGATCTTGTTCTAGCTTCAGTAGCTTCTCGTGCCAGGTGTTGCCCAGCTTGCTCTGGACTGGTTGGCTTCTCTCAATCTTCTACAGTTTTATTTATTTTTGTTTTAAAATTGTGAGAAAAGTACAGCATATAAAATATAATATCAAGAAACAAATATGTTTTATTTTATCGATGTTTTTTGGCTAGGCAGCCCATTACACTTACTATAAATATGTAAGGATTCCCCGTAACTTTGGCATACAGTAAATTTAAGACTGGTCAAAAGATAATGCTATAGGAAACAGAAAAAAATAGATAGACAGATAGATAGATAGAGACTACAGGACGACCTGGACAAACTAGAGGAATGGTCTAAAAAAAATGGCTACTAAAGTTCAATTCAGGAAAGTGCAAAGTAATGAAATTTGGCGAAGGGAGCAGGAGGCTGAACACAAGGTGCCATCTGGTAGGTGAACTCCTGCAAGAGTCATATAGAGAGAACGATTTGGGGGTTGATATCACACCGAACCTGTCCCAAGAAGCCTACATCATAAGGATATCATCTGCGGCATAGGCGAGATTGTACAACATAAGAACTGTCTTTAGAAACCTGTGTAAGGAATCATTCTGAACACTGTATACCACTATGTCAGACCAATCCTGGAGTATGCAGCTCCAACCTGGAGTCCATAGCTAGTTAAACACAAGCCAAAGTTAGAGAAGATTCTGAGGTATGCCACCAGACTGGTCCTGAAACTGAGAGGTTCTAGGACTAGTGATCAGGTTCTAGGACCTACACAATTCTCAGGGGAATTGACAGGGTTGACAAAGACAAACTATTTAGCATTGGTGGAACACGAACTAGGGGATACTGGTGGAAACTTAGTACCCAAATGAGCAATGACACATTAAAAATAATTTCTTCAGTGTCAGCGAAGTTAACAATGGAATGCATTAAGCAGTGATGTGATGGAGGTAGACTCCATGCTCAGTTTCATATGTTGATTTAATAGAGCCCAATAAACTCAGGAACCTGTACACCAGTTGACTAATAGTTGAGAGGCTGGACCAAAGAGCCAAAGCTCAACCCCCGCTAGCGCAACTAGGTGAGTACAACTAGTTGAGTACACACACACAGAAGCCTCGCTGTTGCATGGATAGCGTTCAGGGGTTGTAGGCCTAATGGCCAGGGTTCGATTCACTGTGGAGGCAGAAACAAATTGGCAGAGTTTCTTTCACTTTGATGATCCTGTTCACCTAGCAGTAAATATATACCTAGAAGTTAAACAACTGCTACGGGCTGCTTCCTGAGGGCGTGTGTGTGTGTATTAGAGAGAAATATATGTAGTAGATAAAATAGAAGAAAAGTAGATTGGTTAGAAAGGCGGGGATCCAGAAGCTTATAGCTCGAGTCTGCAGATACAAAATAGTAAACACACACACACACACACACACACACACACACACACACACACACACACACACACACACACACACACACACACACACACACACACACACACACACACACACACACACACACACACACACACACACACACACACACACACACACACACACACACACACACACACACACACACACACACACACACACACACACACACACACACACACACACACACACACACACACACACACACACACACACACACACACACACCGGTGTGTGTGAGGGAGCTGGTAGCCGAGCGGACAGCACGCTGGACACGTGATCCTGTGGTCCCGGGTTCGATCCCGGGCGCCAGCGAGAAACGATGGACATAGTTTCTTTCACCCTGTGCCCCCCTGTTTCCTAGCAGTAAATAGGTACCTGGGAGTTAGTCAGCTGTCACGGGCTGTTTCCTGACGTGTGTGTGTGTGTGTGTGTGTGTGTGTGTGTGTGTGTGTGTGTGTGTGTGTGTGTGTGTGTGTGGTGTGGAAAAAAAAGGCAGTAGTAGAAACAGTTGATTGACAGTTGAGAGGCGGGCTGAAAGAGCAGAACTCAACCCCCGCAAGCACAACTAGGTAAATACAACTAGGTGAATACACACACACACACACACATATTAGATATTAGAAAGATATTAGATATTAGAATGAGATATTAGAAAGAACTTTTTTAGTGTCAGAGTGGTTGACAAATGGAATGCATTAGGAAGTGATGTGGTGGAGGCTGACTCCATACACAGTTTCAAGTGTTGATATGATAGAGCCCAATAGGCTCAGGAACCTGTAAACCTGTTGATTGACGGTTGAGAGGCGAGACCAAAGAGCCAGAGCTCAACCTTCGCAAGCACAATTAGGTGAGTACAATTAGGTGAGTACACATACACACACACACACACACCAGAACAGCCTTCAGGAACCTGTGTAAGGAATCATTCAGAACCTTGTATACCACATATGTAAGACCAGTCCTGGAGTATGCGACCCCAGCATGGAGTGCGTAAATTGTCAATCACAAGACGAAGCTGGAAAAAGTTCAGAGGTATGCCACTAGGCTAGTCCCAGAACTAAGAGGCATGAGTTACGAGGAAAGGCTGCGGGAAATGCACCTCACGCATTGGAAAACAAAAGAGTAAAGGGAGACATGATCGCTACCTACAAAATTCTCAGAAGACTTAACAGGGTAGATAAGGATAAACTGCTTAACACGGGTGGTACGTGAACAAGGGGACACAGGTGGAAACTGAGTACCCAAATGAGCCACAGGAACGTTAGAAAGAACTTTTTCAGTGTCAAGAGAAGTTAACAGGTAGAATACATTAGGCAGTGATGTGGTGGAGGCTGACCCCATACACAGTTTCAAATGCAGATATGATAGAGCCCAGAAGGCTCAGGAATCTGTACACCAGTTGAGTGACTTTTGGGAAGCGGGACCAAAGAGCCAGAGCTCAACCACCGCAAGCACAACTAGGTGAGTACACACACACGAGAGAACGCAGGAAACCAAGAAAGAGATGGGTGGGCGGATTGTATTTCCTTTGTCTCTCAGAATGCCTTTTACGAGGCTGGTGCATAAGCTAGAGAAACAGGCAGGAGTAACAGTTATGCTGCGCCATATAATAATGGAGTACATAAGCAACCGAAAGCAGAGTTACTGTAAGGGGTGAGACCTCAGAATGAAGTGATGTCACTAGTAGAGTCCCAACGGGTTCTGTACTCGGACCAATTCTGTTTTACATATACGTAAATGATCTTCCAGAAAGTATACACTCATTCCTCTCAATGTTTGCTGACGATGCTAAAATTTTGAGAAAGATTAAGTCAAACGAGAACAGGAAGATTCTTCCAGATGTCCTGGGCAAATTGAAGGAATGGTGCAACAAATGGCTACAAGAGTTTAAATAGAGGAAAATGCAAAGCAATGAAAATAGATGTAGGGAGCAGGAGGATAGATACAAGGTGCCATTGGGAGATGAAATCCTTCAAGAAACAGAAAAAGAGAAAGCTTTGAGGGTTGATTTCACGCCGGACCTGCCCACTGAAGCCCGCAACAAAAGGATATCAGTCGCGACATATGTCATGGCCAACGTAAAAACTGACTTTAGAAACTTGTGTAAGGAATAATTCAGAACCTTGTATACCACATATGTCAGACTAAGCCTGGAGTATGCAGCTAAAACGTGGAGACTGTATCTTGTCAAGCACAAGACAAAATTGGCGATGGTTCAAACATATGCCACCGGACTAGTACCCGAGCTGACTGGTATGAGCTACGAGGAAAGACTATTGGAATTGACTATCACATCACTAGACGACAGAAGAATTAGTGGAGATAGGATTACCACATACAAAACAAACACGTGAATTGATAGAGTAGATAAAAACAGATTATTTAGCACAGGTGGAACTCGTACATAGGGACTACCCAAATGAGCCACTAGCACGTTAAAAATAATTTTTCATTGTCAGAGTAATTAACGAACGGAATGCATTAGGCAGTGATATAACGTATCTATTATATATCTCAGGTGCATCACCACTAATAACATCACCAAGCAAGTTGTTACAAATTATGATATAACTAAAAGTTACTTAAAACTACTATCCCAAGTCAACACAATTCACCTCAACAACTGTTACAGTGATGTGGTGGAGGCTGAATCCCTACACAGTTTCAAATGTAGATATGATAGTCCAGTAGGCTCTGGAATCTGTACGCCAGCAGACTGATGGTTGGGAAACGGGACCAATTAAAGAGCCCAAGTTCAATCTACGTAGAGCACAATTAGGTAAGTACACATATAAACAGGGGAACTTACTTATATCTAGGTGAACAGCACCATCAAGTGAAAGAAACTCTACCAAGCTGTTTCTATTTCGGCCGGAAATCACACTCGGGTATCTGGATCACCAATCACGATCGTGTGCCTACGTGTGTGTGTTGGATGTATTTACTCGTCTATGAGGCCCTGTGAGTGAGTGTGTGTGTGTGTGTGTGTGTGTGTGTGTGTGTGTGTGTGTGTGTGTGTGTGTGTGTGTGTGTGTGTGTGTGTGTGTGTGTGTGTGTGTGTGTGTGTGTGTGTGTGTGTGTGTGTGTGTGTGTGAGAGAGAGAGTGCGCGCGCGCATGTACTCATCTAATTGTGCTTGCGGGGGTTGAGCATTGTCTCTTTGGTCCCGCCTCTCAACAGTCAGTCAACTGGTGTACAGATTCCTGAGCCTATTGGGCTCTATCATATCTACATTTGAAACTGTGTATGGAGTCAGCGTGTACTCACCTAGTTGTGTTTGCGGGGGTTGAGCTCTGGCTCTTTGGTTCCGCCTCTCAACCGTCAATCAACTGATGTACAGATTCCGTGTGTGTGTATGTGTGCGCGTGCGTGAGCGTGCGTGCGTATCTGCGTGTGTTGATCAAAGCATAATTTCATTTCTGGTGAGTACTGGTAGAATCATGTGTAGCATTACGGCCTTCGAGTGTGCTCATCTCCCCGTCTGCTTCTCTATGTACCATTAAGGAAAGCCACATTTACATACTGATCCCTATTATGATGCATAACACTCATTTCGGAGAAACGGATACTTCCAGCATGAAAATCGCCGCGCGGAACGGAATATTAACGCTGCTGTGACCAAGGACGTCCTTTCTCTAAGTGTATATAAACTCGGATAAGCCAAGTCCCGGCACGAGTCGTACAACATACGCCAAGATGAAGTTCGTAAGTACCGATCTCCTTCACCGTAGCGACAGCACATTGTGGCTCACGGGATAAAATATTTAACGCTGATTGGATCACAATTCACTACCTGAGTGAAAAAATCAAGATTTTCTTCCTGCGAGTTTTGACCAATATATCTATAAGTTTTGACGAGTATGTAAGTGTGAATATGTGTAAGACTGCGTGTTTGTAGAACCAATAACACTGAAATAATAATATTCAATAGTATTCTTACTCATTATGTTCATAGCCTGCAGGTTTGGAGAAATTTCAGAGCATAGGTGATTTACTAATAATTAATCTTACCTACAACTTATGTTTTAAATATCAAACAATCCAGTAGACATGATATCCAAGAGTGGCATTGGTTCAGCTTTGAATTAACGTCATTAAAGTGGAATCAATGCTGATGAAGTGAATTTAGCGTTGAATTGGCGTTGTTCTTGGACATAGTGCTCAATGGGAAAGCCGTTTGAATGCTAAATTTAAACGGCTTTGATTTCTTGAATTCCTTTTAAATCAATTTTTTCTTTTAATTCTTTGAATTCTTTTAATGCACGGACGTATTAAGAGAACTCCTAGCAAAAAATCTGAGAAACTTTCCGTCGCAGGTGATCCTCGCTGCCGCCGTCGCCGCCGTGGCCTTCGCTGCCCCTAAAGCCAACCACCTGGCTGCCCCCGAAGCCTCCGCCCCGGCTGCCCCCGAAGCCTCCGCCCCGGCTGCTCCCGAAGCCCCCGCCCCGCCTGCACCCAGTACCACATTTGTGCCCATCCTTAAGGACGATCGAACAAATGACAACGAAGGAACGTTTACCGTCGACGTGAAGACTGGCAACGGTATCTCCCTGGCCAGGTCTGGCTCTCCCACCGGTACTAACGGCTCTGTGGTCCAGACTGGACAATATGCGTGAGTAATAATGATGAATAATCATAGTAATTATTATTATTAACATCTTTGTTGACAAAATTAATTTACAATTTTGCCTAATTTAATTAATTATTTGAATGAATTAATCAACGTAATTTAATTAATTTCATCGTTATTTAGCTGACAAATTGTAACTATTATAAATTCCTAGGATGGGAACCCTGCCTTCGTCAGCATTAAAGTGCATTTATGAATCTTTGGTGCATTTTAAAAGTCTTAGTCATCATGTAAAGATTTTCAGGCCATTCGAACTTATTTCCCGTCCTGTCTTAGTGTCTTGGCAAGTTTACTAAAGTTGCGCTCAGTCTTGTTTCAAACTTGAAGTTTCCTACTTCATTTCATTTATATCCATCCTTTGTATCCTTAGAAATAACCGTTCCTTATTAGAATTAAATATATTTAATTCAATACCTTCCTATTGACTCTTTTGTTAAGTGTCTAATTAAAACCTTTCCCTTAAGTTTATGTACACAATTTGGATATATTATCATCTATTGACGCCTTCAAATATCGTAAAAAAGAATGAGAGGCAATTTGATGAAATGTGAATGGCCCGTTAACGTACATGATTTTGTTTTGATTTAAAATGGAAAATGCTGGAAAAATATACGATTCGGAGTTTTTAATATATGGTCTCTGGGTAAGATTTCCCTGCTTATTCTCTTGAAAGTTGCATATCCATGGGCAGACCTCCTGGTATCAGAGACAAGTGGTGTTCGATGCTCCTCAGCCTGCTAGTCACGATGTTAATGTTGGTTAGTATCCATAAATGTTCGGAGGAACTTAGTCTATCACAACGGCATGTAATCATGTCATCGATGATATCGATGACCACCAAGGATAACAAAGATACAGACAGATGGACATAAAATTTCTGTCATAAGTTCAAAAATGTCAAAAATATCATTAAATACGTACTCCTGAAACCTTGTAATGGTCCGCGTCATCCACAAGGGAAAAATGTTAACACTTGTTTGAATAAAATAGCTCATCATATTATTGAGTTAAACATGGTCGCTGCCTTCTCAATGAGGGCGATCAAATATAATAAAAGGGATTCCTCGTCCAAACTTGAAAGAAGAGCAACTCTCAGTGACTTTGTAAATGTAGATTTTAAAGGCAGCAACTCTTGTCTTCTTTAGCAATGATTTCAAGTGGAATGCATCCTGGGTTTGTCTGCACTTTATGCTGGTAATCTTCAGATGATTTGAAGATTGTAGGGAAAGCGTAAAACTTATTATCAAACAAAAATAATTATTAATTTTTTTTTCTCACAGCTACACTTCTCCTGACGGCACACCAGTTAGTGTGAAGTTCGTCGCCGACGAGAACGGCTTCCAGCCCCAGTCTGACCTGCTGCCAGTGGCTCCTGCCTTCCCCCACCCAATCCCCCAGTTCGTGCTGGACCAGATCGCCTTTGCTGCTGCAGCTCCTGCTGCTCCTGCAGCTCCTGCTGCTCCTGCAGCTCCTGCTGCTCCTGCAGCTCTTGCTGCTACCCTCATCTAGGTTCCTGAAGAAAGAAGTCCTCCTCAGGCCTAGAACTTGTTCTAGTCTCAGTAGTTGGTGCTCCTGGTACTGCCGCTACAGCATCTGCTGCTTCTCTTGCTGCAGCTACAACGTCTGCTGCTGCTGCTACTGCTGCCGCTACAGCGTCCGTTTTTGCTGCTTGGGTTTTCCCATCTGAGAAGGCAGTGTTAGAAACTCTAACCTAAGGGCTGTACTTGTATTATTGTTTCATTAAATTATTGAGTGAAAGGTAGAAAATGCAAAATAAAATCATAATGCTCAGAATACAATTGTTTTTATTTATCCTTTAGTTAGGAAACCCACTTCTAGGACACGAACAAATATTTATTATTCTCTGCATATACTCAGTAAAGTTTTTATTGTAGCTAATATATCATAATGAATAAAAATATACCACGGGACTTGTGGTACTCAATTTTTATGTAACACGAGAAACATGATGTATAAGTGTTAAGAGAATGATTCAGGTCTCAATTTTTAAAGAAAGTTTCATTTTTTACCTCCTTTTACACAGCTCCATCTCTGATTATTCATCACCAGCATCTCCCTACACAGCTTCATCTCTGATCATGCTGCATCAGCCTCCCTCTACTCAGCTTCATTTCTAGTCAGATATCATCAGCTTTCCTCTACTTAGCTTCACCCCTGATCTTGTTAAGTAACTGAGATTTTATATATATTAATATTTTCTTCGAAATACTCAGTGTAATAAAAAACCAAGTAAAATGTGAATTATAACTTTTGTTATGCATATATTCATAAGAAATCTAAATACTGAGTGGTGTTGAGAATCCACCAGTGAAGATGATTTGAGTTAGAGAGCTCTGTGAGTTGAGCATCCATCGCTGTAGATTGTCCAAGAGAAAGCGAGAGCTCAATGAGTTGAGGTTCCATCAATGTAGATGGTTTGAGAATGAGAGTTCTGTGGGTAGAGGATCCATCAGTCTAAATGGTTTGAACGAGGGAGCTCTGTGAGTTGAGAATCACTCTGCCTTAAGTTGTCTTGCTCTTCATCTGAACGAAATATGGGCTGATCATTATTTTACTTCTTTGGTTGGAAAGGAGGGATTATAATCTGTAAGTAGGTTACTTGTCAGAGTTCTTTCTTGTTAAAGAGTATGAATCTCCTGCTTTCTGATTTTAGCATTCCATTTGAGGGATATTGAAATTAAAAAACGAACATCTTTGGGACTTTTATTGTACAAAGTTAAACTCTATTTTCAGTAGCATGACTTATGATGCTTTGAATATTGAGTTATTTTCTCATATTAAGTATATTCGTGCAACGAGAACACTCAAGGATGATCCGCATTGCTCCGGTTTCAGTCTTTCCAATCGTTCAAGAATTCCTTCGGACACTCAAGTGGGCAGAGGTATAACTTAGGCCACTAAAGATCTAATGTGAGGTAAATAATTAAAAATGAATTTAGCATTTGTAACAGTATCATGTCTGGAGTACTCCTCCCCAATCACGACTTGAGGCTACGCTTGTCTTGTGATAACTTGATCTAGAAGGTTGTTGCTTTTAGCGGTTCGCAGGCCTACATAACCATGACAACCCAATTGGTCCGGCACCTTCTGCGGGAGCTAATCCTATTGTTTCTCAAAAAGCCGTAGGCCTCTGATGCTCAAACACTGTTCTCTGAATGTGCTTATATCACCTTTACTCCTCACTGGGTCTATTCTACATTTCCTCTGTTTAGATTCAGTACGTTGTTAATTTTCTGTGTATATTTGGAATCTGGCCTTCCAGTATCTTCCATATAAATATTATGTACTACTCTCGTTTCCGTTTAGTTTGGATGATATTGTACAACAGCCTCAAGAAATTCAAATAAGACTATTTATATTAATTCTTTTCATAGTCAATCTGGGATACATTTTTCTTTTTTAAATTTAAAAGCAGTTCTTCCTTGTCTGGGCTTAATAATTACTGTTGAGATTACTAAGCCCAGGTTCTGGCTTTGTTCTAATCAAGAATTTAAAATATTTTGGATAATAATGTACCCAGTGATATAGATCATCATATCATCAGCTATTTTAATTAAGTGGTAATTGGGTTTGCAAGACAAAGATTTACAGCACCTTGATTAATACTTTAAATAAAGCAGGAATGAGGACACAACAGTGCCCTAGATCAAAGTCTTTATTTACATTAATAGGTCCTTGGAAAGTTAGAGTTGACGTAATGTTCGAAAAGTAATCATTATGTGCAACATATGTCAACATTTGTAATGTTGACATATGTACCACATAATTATTCTATATGCATAATTTTTATGTTATGTAAGTTTAAAGATTTTCTTCTGTAAAATTTAAAATGTTATGTTTTCTCACATACTGACAAAAATGCAACTCAAACCACGGTACCAAAGGAGAGACACCTGAAATGTGTGACTGGAACATTAACACATTAGACATTTAACTCATCTAACAGGGTTTCATTATTACACACAGAAATCACACTAACGTGATGCATCAAATGAACAAATCCACTAGAACCGTGATGAGGATTCGAACTCAACTTCGCTCAATGTCCGGGAGCATCCCAGACACTGCCTTAATCGACTGAGCTACGACAGGGTTAAAAAGAGTTAAAAAAACCAAGTTCTACTAAACTTACTGGATCTCGCAGCCTCTCCGAAGCACAAACCAGGGTTTTACACAACTCGCCCCTGCACTCGAGCAATGTCAATAGGCCGTTCTCCCTCTACGCCCTTACATCATTACACACAGAAATCACCCTGTGATTTCTAACGTGATGCATCAAATGATACCCTAACATGATGCATCAAATGAACAAATCCACAAAGGCCGTGACGAGGATTCGAACCTGCGTCCGGAAGCATCCCGGACGCATATTACGAAACATCCTGAGTGATAAACATATACATTTCTTCCCTTACATACATGCAGTATGTTACCAGACGGAGACACAAATACTTTTATGGCTAGGTACACAGACCATTTGCAAGAGACATTCAGATAATTCAACAATGTTACAATCTTGGTGCAAAATTCTTATATATCTCCGAATATCATCAATCTTTCCGTTGTGACACATCCAAGCTATTTCCAGGCTATTTGTTCAGGAAGAGTGCTTATCATAACGTTTCTATATACATTAATCAACGGGTAATCAAGAACATAATGGGTGAGGGTGTGCCCCTTAAAATGCCACATAGTTTAAACTTCGTGTGATTATCATTAACACTTATTCCATCTTCCAAGTAATATTTGTACCCAAGCCTGTGCCGCATGTATTCAGGGTCACTTCAAGAATTTCTCCTATTACCATAAGTAAAATGGGTGTTTTGACTCACATGTAGTGTTGCATGGTTTGACTTTTCTCATACATTATACCTCTCATCGCCTGAATTATTTGTGCCTGAATATTAATAATTTTGCTTCTTATTTGTCTCATTGATAAAAGACATTCAATGTCAACTTGGGGTTTTGATGTGGCACGTTTGGCCAGGTCATCCGCCACATCGTTCAGCACTATTACAACACGAGATGGAATCCACAGGTATTTCACTTTGTGACCTTTCAGACGTATCTTAGTTATCCTTTTCTTACAATCCTCAACTATGGAGATGAAGATTGCTTTTCGACAGTTTAAGGAATCAAGTGCTCCACAGCTATCGACAAATATAAAAACATCTTTTTCGTCAGAGTAGTTAACAAATGAAATGCATTTGGCAGTGATGTGGTGGAGGCTGACTCCATACACAGTTTCAAATGTAGATATGATAGCGCCCAGTAGGCTCAGGATCCTGTACACCAGTTGATTGACAGTTGAGAGGCGAGACCAAGAAACAACCCTCGTAAGAACAACTAGGTGTGTACTGACTTGAGACACGCTGGTAACGGTGGCAGCTGGTTCTCCTTAATTAATTGGCCTTTCAGTAATTCTCTATATGAGATGATTATGTTTATGGAAGTCTACTGTAATGCACAGCTTGCAGTCGGAGCAGTGGACTCTTACAGCAGGACGATGTTCATGACGAATGTTCAGCGTATTCCACTTGTTGACCACCCGAACAGGAAATGAGTATTTGCTTGCATCTCTTTAACTTATTTGCGCTATCAGCTTCTACTTATGTTATCTCGTCCAACCTTCGCTCAATGTAAAGAGTTTGTCCTTATCAATTCCCCTCAGTATTTTGTATGCCGCGACCATGTCCCCCTCATTCTTCTCTCCTCCAGGGTCGTGAGGTCTAGTTCCCTTAACATATTCCAATAGCTTTACCGTCTTAGCTCTGGCATCAATCACGTTACTTTCCTGCGTACTATATCTTTTTTGGTTTCATGCTTCACAAGGTGCGGGTTAAACAGCTACAGCGTCCAGTACTGATCTAACAAAGGCTGATTAAATTACCTTTAACGAGCTCTGATTTAAGTTTCTAAACTACGTTCTATGTTTCCAGTGTTTCATATACAGCCCATAATAACCTGTGTGTGTGTGTTTACTATTTTTGTTTTGCCTCCAGGATTAGCTCTTGGATCCTGCCTTTCTAACCGTCGGTTGTCTACTGTACTGACTCCCGACCTATTTTCTTCTATCATATCTACTACACATTTATCTGTAAGTCTCACACATATATCCCCAGGAAGCAGCCCGTATCAGTTGTCTAACTCCCAGGTACTTATTTACTGCTAGATGAACAGGCCCATCAGGTGAAAGAAACCCATTTGTTTCTTCCTCAGCCGGGAATCGAACCCTGGCCCATAGGACTACGACCCCCGAGCGCTATCCACTCAGCCGCGAGGCCAGTGTGTGTGTGTATGTGTGTGTGTGTGTGTGTACTCACCTAGTTGTACTCACCTAGTTGTGTGTGTGTGTGTGTGTGTGTGTGTGTGTGTGTGTGTGTGTGTGTGTGTGTGTGTGTGTGTGTGTGTGTGTGTGTGTGTGTGTGTGTGTGTGTGTGTGTGTGTGTGTGTGTGTGTGTGTGTGTACTCACCTAATTGTACTCACCTAATTGTGCTTGCGGGGGTTGAGCTTTGGCTCTTTGGTCCCGCGTCTCAACTGTCAATCAACTGTTGTACAGATTCCTGAGCCTACTGGGCTCTATCATATCTACATTTGAAACTGTGTATGGAGTCAGCCTCCACCACATCACTTCCTAGTGCATTCCATTTCTTAACTACTCTAACACTGAAAAAATTCTTTCTAACGTCTCTGTGGCTCATCTGGGTACTAAGTTTCCACCTGTGTCCCCTTGTTCGTGTCCCACCCGTGCTGAAGAGTTTGTCTTTGTCCACCCTGTCAATTCCCCTGAGAATTTTGTAGGTGGTTATCATGTTTCCCCCTTACTCTTCTGTTTTCCAGGGATGTGAGGTTCAGCTCCTTTAGCCTTTCCTCGTAGCTCAATCCTCTCAGTTCCGGGACGAGCCTGGTGGCATACCGCTGAATCTTCTCTAACTTTGTCTTGTGTTTAACTATAGGTATGGACTCCAGGCTGGAGCTGCATACTCCAGGATTGGTCTTGTGTGTGTGTGTGTGTGTGTGTGTACTCACCTAGTTGTGTTTGCGGGGGTTGAGCTCTGGCTCTTTGGTCAGGTTACAAACATATGAACATATCTCACCGTATTAGGTTGCCTCAAGGCCAGGATGCATCCAGAACCGTAACAACTTGGAATCGATTCATGTTGCTAAATTGAGACCAGAGTTGATCATCTCAGACTCCTTGGTTTACACATCATTATCGTCTTTTGCAAGTTGGTTGTTAGCTCTTTTATTGTTACTGAAATTTTTTTATTGTCTTCGTCTTTTCAACTGATATATATTTCCATACAACTTTTGTTTACGACTATACTTTTATTCTTTATTTAATTAAGTATCCACATACAAGAGAAAAACTAAAAAAAATAAAAATCAGACACTGCAAGGGTATGGGCAGTGCCGTCTGGAGTACACAGACACTACAAGGGTGTGCGGCAGTGTGTGGGCCCTGGATACCACACTGGATACCACACTGGATACCAGTGTGGTATCCAGAGCTCACACTGCCGTTAACAGTATGGTCCCTGGATAAAACCATTCACCAGGGCCCCTATCCAGATGATGAGCCCCAGGCGTCCGCTAGAGTGTAGGATTACCGTCAGACTGTCATGCAGAAATTATTTAAATTATTTATATTATAATTATAATTATCATTTTAAAAGGTATATGAATACCAGTGCTCTCTAACCGTGGTCGATTAATTATCCTCTCTGCCAAGAGATCTGTCATGAACGCAAGACATCATGGGGCCCTTGAATCGTAGGGACCCTAGAATCCTGGAGCCCCAGTGTGATATATAATATACATATGAGTAGATTAAGAATCATCAACACGCGAGTGGTGAGTAAATAGAACAATGGGAGACAGGCTGATAGGCCTATTGCAGTTTCGTCCTTTCTTGTATTCTTATTTACTTATATAAATAAGTAAATTTACTTAAGTAAAAAGATCAGAAGAATGAATTAAATTTGATAAACATAAACAGCCCATGATAATGTTATTTTTGGTGTGCAATACTGATATGTTTCTCAAGATGTGAGAAAGAAAACTATCAGGAGAAAGCGCCAAGCCATTACGACTATATAGCACTTGTAAGGGGTCAGGATAAGGATTTGGGATTGGACGAGGGGAAGGAATGGTGCCCAACTACTTGGACGGTCGGGGATTGAACGCCCACCTGCATGAAGCGAGACTGTCGCACTACTGTCCACCCCAAGTGGTTGGGCGTCTCAAGATGTGAACGAATGTCATTCGATGACTTTGATTTAATAAATTTTACTTCAAGTGGTGTCTTATGTTAATTAGTGAAAACAAAATCCTTTTATTTACATTTATTTATATTGGAAACTATTGTTCAAGAGTATTATTGATTCCTTTTGAGTTCAAGGGCATTTTAGTAATCCATTTTAGATGGATGCTGATCTTCAAAAATGACGGTCTGGAGGGCGTTAATGCAAGCATTCGGGTGAGTTAGTCTAAGAATTATGATACATTTAAGGAATTAATTTCAGAAGCACGATTAACGATGCTCTGAATATTGAGTTACACCCTGCCACAGCCTCAGATAATTTAAATAAGCCTCTATTTATATTGAATCTCTTACAGTCTGGGATGCATCCTTTCGGTGAGTTTGGCGAAGAGTTCCTCTCGTCTGGGCGGGCGGAGATTCAGCCGTTTTTCCTTTTATCTACTGAAATAACTAAGCCCAGATCCTGGCATCTGTCTAATCAAGAAATGATCATTACATCATCAGCTACTCAAATGAATGGTAGTCAAAGAAAATATTTTGCTATATTCCATATTCCCAAATATTGCAACATTAAAACATTTTATATTAAAAACAAATAATTTTCTATGAGCAGAAGCTGTCTGCACTCTTAGGAATTACGACACACATACTGACCTGAGACGCTGGTGAAGGTGACAGCTGGTCCTCTTTAATTGGCCTCTCAGTAATTCTCAAGATGAGATGCTTATGTTTATGGGTCGATTGTAATGCACAAGGTGTACTCTCACCTCATGACGATGTTTAAGAGTTTATAGCATCACTCTTCTTGAAGGACATCCTTTCTCCAGAGTATATAAACACCGTTATGTCAGGTCGTGTCAAGAGTCTTACTACAGCCAACAAGATGAAGTTTGTGAGTAACTTGCTCCGTTGACATAGCAAACCTACATTGCACTTTTGGGACACAATTTGTTTATGTGTGTTTATATGTACCTAGGTTCATATGTGTGTTTATATGTATCTAGGTGCATATGAACGAGATTTATTTGATAATCGATCGCCAGTTCCTAAACACCTCCTTTCAACCGCCAATAGCTTTTGGCAGTGACTATTCACTTGTCTTTCTGATAATATAAAACTATCCACTGCGTTACCTTTGACTTCATTCTTATGTAATCTTTATCTTATTTACGGCTCTTAAACTGCAGAACTTCTTCATAACTCTGCTGTTCCTCGTTTTGAACATTCTACTTGTTTAATTCTATCTGTGCTTAAATATTCGTGTATATGTATGTAATTCCGTCGCAGGTGATTCTTGCTGCCGCTGTCGCCGCTGTGACCTTTGCCGCACCTCAGTACGGAGTGCAGCAGCCCGGTCCAACCTACACTGCCCCTGACCCCACCTACACAGCTCCCGACCCCACCTACACAGCTCCCGACCCCACCCTGACGACACTCCCTCAAGCCAGCGTAGTTCCGGAAGTTGTGCCCATCATTAAGGACGAGCGTGAACAGGAGGATGACGGAACGTTTACTGTCTACGTGGAGGCCGGCAATGGCATCACTCAGGTGGTGTCTGGCGCTCCCAGCGGCCCTGATGGAGCTGTGGTCTTGTCTGGAGAATACTCGTAAGTAGAATGTCATTAATAATAATAATAATTAGTAATATTATTATTTTGTGTTTTTAGGGTGGCATAGGAATGTGAAGAACCTACCGCAACCACTGAAAGGTTCTATTAGCCTAATATGCTGTAAGTTAAGAGGAGAGTGTGGTGCGGGTGAGGGGGCAGAAAAGAAGAGCTGGAAAACCCATTATTCCAAAATTTATTACCACAAATGTCAAAATAACCTATGAGCTGGGGACCGCATCTGCCCAGGCCCCGGAAAGCAAAGCCGATTTCCTCTGAAAGTGAGAGGAATTAATCAGGAAAAAAGTTGGAAATAACTAAATTTTGATGATCTATGTTTATGCGACACTAAGACTGAGAATTGAAAGAAAATAAGACAAGAGAAGAAGACGAATTCTTATGCTAATGAAGATATGAATAAGGTCGCTCAGGGAAGAAAATTGGCAAGTATAATAAAAACCAAGTTTAAGAAAAAGGAAATATGAATAGTCAGCCGGCGGTCCACTTGGCATGGCAGACGTGCCGACTCCTGTGCATGAGTGTGAGAAGATGGTGTTTCTTGAACTTGAAAAATCAGAATTAGAGAAGTAGAAATGAACATTCTGAGAAGCATCTGCGGTGTTAGAAGAAACGATATAGTAAACATGGTACATAAAAGTCAATGAACCTCAACGTTGAGGAGAATATGCAGATACGATTTAGTTATGTTGAACGAGTTGAACGAGTTTATGATGACAGGCTGGTGAAGAGGGTGTATTCAAGTAAACTTTATGGAAGATGAAGGAGATGACTCTCTTGTCCCGAGGGAAGAAGATGGATGGACACGGTGGATGTATCGGGAAGTGGGTGCTTGTGTAAGGAAGCGGGAAAGAGTGTAAATAAGGGCAGGAAATTTATTGTTAATTAGGACTGAAACAGTTATATGGGTTTGTTATCTCCACATCGTCCTCCCCCTCCTCCCCCCTTTCCCCCTCTCCCCCTTCTCTAGGAGAATGTATTATAAACAAGGCCTGAAACAACTAAACTATGTGGGGGGGGGGGGGCACAGTACCGCTCCTGTCCTCTAAGTCACAGTACCGCTCCTGTCCTGTTCTGTAAGTCCTCTATAGGCTCACCATAGCCCGTGCTACTTGCCCCGCTCCTGTGCCAGGTAAGTTACGGGCTCACCATAGCCCGTGCTACTTGGAACTTGTTCTGAGTAGCTGAATCTATAGCAAGAACAACAACTATGTGGGTGTGTTATCTTCTCCCTTCGTCCCCCCTCCCCCCTTTTCTCACTTTCCCATCGTCCCCACCACTTAGCAGCCCATCGTCCTTCCTCCCCCTACCCCCTCCCTTCATCCCTCCACCAACAACTTCCCGTTCTTCCCAATTACTCAGAAAATTATATTATTACGAAATTGCACAGATAAACAGTGAAGCAACGTCACAGTTATATTTATTTATTTATTTATGTATATATATACAAGAAGGTACATTGGATTATGCAGTACTCCTTGAGAGTACATTGCACTGATGTTTTTTACATTCTTGTAAAGCCACTAATACGCATAGCGTTTCGGGCAGATACATAGATTCGTGCGGGAATTACAAACAGTAACTTCACACTCTGAAAATTTCGTTCCCGAGTTCATACCAGATTCATTCAGACATGCCAAAAGCTCGAGGGTGTTGTGTTAGAAGCTATATTTCTTAAAGCATTTAACTTATTCCTACCGCGACCAGCCCATGTCCATCACGTAGCAACTCCATTTCCTCTACAACGTTGGGAGAGACTAGCCCCAAGCATCTGGCCTCCAACTTAGGACAGACAAACACATCTTTTTATAGTATAGATTTGTATGTAATGTATACCACAATACACGTGGATCACTGTACACATGGTGTTATGCAGTAGCGGGTGCTGCTGTGCATGACTGCTGGAGTGTAGTGGTGCACGAGCAGCACTATATACTGGTTCTATAAAGCGATGGGTGCTGCTGTGGAGGACGGTTGGAACTAAATTTATTCGGCTTATTCTCTTAACCTTTAGTCAGCGGTTTACATCATATTCTACCTCCTACAGCTACACTGCTCCTGACGGCAATCCCGTCAATGTGAAGTTCGTCGCCGACGAGAACGGCTACCAGCCCCAGTCTGACCTGCTGCCAGTGGCTCCTGAGTTCCCCCACCCAATCCCCCAGTTCGTGCTGGACCAGATCGCCTTCGCCGCTCAGGAGGACGCTGCCAACGCCGCCGCACAAGAAGCTAGTGCTTTACCTGCTCCTTCACAGACCTACATCCAGCCTCAGTAACACTTGTTGCCTGTCATTACACATGTAACTCAACACTGTTGAAAGCTTTACATAGTTGTGTTTCTTATATTTATTTGTCTTAGTTATATTGCGCACAATATGTAACGTGTCATGTAATAAATTAATGTTCCAAATATTTTATAAATTTTATTCTTAATTCATAGTTAAATTTCCAGGTACTGGATATATTTATATGAACAAGTTTAGACAATATTTCAATTTTCTTTCACCTGGAGACGTCTTTATCTCTCCGGACTGGCAAGTACTGTGATCATTATTAACCCTTCTCTCACGTACTTTTTTTGTTGCTGCTCATATGATTAAGCTCATTTGTAATGGTTTATTTGCTGCCGTAATATAAAATTGAGCTCTATCTACACTTGAAACTGTGTTATAGAGTCTTCACCATCACATTTTCTAGTCCATCATTTGTTAACTACACTGATAAAAAAAATTCTTATGTCTCATTAGTTTATTTGGGTACTCAGTTTTCACCTGTATCTCCTTGTGCGAACACTACCCACGTTAATTAGTCTGTCTTTATCTTCCCTATCAATTCCCTTGATAATTTTGTGTTTGATAATGATGTCTCTAAGATCTCTTGCCTTCCAGCGACGTGAGGGTCAATTTACGGGTCTTCCCTCGTAACTCATACCTCTCAGTTCTGGAACTATTGTGGAAGGCATAACTTTGAACCTTCTCCTACTTCACCTTGTGCCTGACTAGGTATGGAGTACATGCTGGAGCTGCATACTCCAGGATTGGCCTGACATATGCGGTGTACAAGGTTCTGAATGATTCCTTACTCAAATTTCTAAAAGCAGTTCTGAAGTTGTCCATTTTCTCACATGCTGTTGGGGCCCGGTAGTGCAGTCGGGTTTGTTCTCGACTCACAAAACTGAAATTGTTCACAATTGAGAAAGTGTTCGAATCCCGGGCGGGAGAGAAATGGTTGGGCGCATTTCCTATCACCCAATTCTCCTGCTCACCTAGCAGGAAGCAGGTACCCAGGAGTTAGTCAGCTTGTTGTAGTGTTGCATCCTATGGGGGTCTGTAATTCAACCTTGGGAAGTGAGGGGGGGGGGAGGGGACAACCTCGATATAATCCTAACGTGTATAAACACAAACTGGCTGCCTATCCCCCAACACAATAAATTAATATCCTTTGGATGTGGGCTTCAGGAGACAAGTTCGATATAATATCAAGCCCTCCTAAAGCTTTCAGTCAGTTTCATGGAGGATCCATGAAACTATAAGTTTCATCATCTATATGAAACCTTGTGTCTGGCTTCATGCTCCCTCCTCCGTCTTCACTAATTTACATTTGCTTGAGTTAAGTTGCCAGTAGACATTTATTGCATACTTTCAGTATGTCCAGGTCATTTTTTAGATCCCTGCCATCTTTTCTGTCTTAATCCTCTCATAATTTTCGCATCAGCAAACATTAGGAGGAATACGTCTATTCCCTCTGATAGATCGTTTACATATATGTGAGAAGGAGGATAGGTCTAAGAACTGAACCCTGTGGGACTCCACCAGTCACATCTCACTCCTCACAGTGACTCGATGTCTTTCGTTGCCTAAGAACTCCCTTAACCATTAGAGTACCTTCCCTTATCACTCCTTCTTGCTTCTCCAACTTATTCTAGTCTTTTATGGGGTACTGTGCCAAAGGCTTTCTAGCAATTAAAAAATTTGTCAGCCCATTATCAAAATAAAGGGCTGTCAGGTTCACAATGTATTAGTCAAATACTGACTTACTAAACTAGTAAGTATTAGTCACATTAGTAAGTATTTGACTTATAGTCCCTTTAGCCATGTTCGAAGCTATGATTCAAAACGTGCTTCATTCACTTTCGGCCAATAGTATAAACACTTCCTAAATATTTACTTACAAAAAAAAAGACAAAAAAAAACTCAAGTTTGTTAAGTACAAGATGTTCCATCTAGGAACAGAATATAAAACTGAACAGTTACAGAGGGCGGTTCCCAAGCCCCGCCATCCATGTTGAAGAAGAATTTAGAGTAGCCGACTAGTGGATCAAGCAAGAGGCAAACAGCAGCCCATAAGGCGGGTTGCTGGACTGAATGATGCATTCAGCTCGCTCGCATTTCATTGGCAGAAACTCTATGTTGACATTCACGTCAATAGCCAATCACAGCAAAGGATCAGCTGAAAGCTCCTCCCTCTTGACTCTTTTCCGGAAATCAGTAACCTTTTATTTTTGCTTATCTGTTTCATCACAGATCTATTCAGAAGGTGTTTTATATTAAATTACAATTTCAAAATTACAATCAATTGTCAATAATTATATATATTATGGAATATAACAGTTGCTGGCTAACTTGTGATGTCAACAGTGATACCTGACAAGTAGTACCATCTAGTGGCCGAAATTTAACACTAAGCGCAGTATTAGTGGGTGAGACATTGTAACGTCCATGATGCTTATTACAAAGCGCCACCTACTTACTATAATGCAGCTTAGAGAGATCAGATATACTTTTGTTACACCTACTTATAGCAATATCTTCGATTTAAAATGAAATTGGCTGAAAATTTTACATTTTAGATAGATACTACTTGAGACAAAAAAGGCATAAATAGGTTTAGTGTTCCAAATATATTGATGACGTCATTTAGTAGGCGGCGCTATCGATGATCTCTTTCTGTGGTTGGCTGTTGAGAGGAATGTCACCACCGAGTTTTTACCAATGAAATGCTAGCACGGGAAGACATCCTTCAGCACAACAACCCGCCTTATGCACGGCTGTTGGCCTCTTGATCGGTCACCACCTGCGAATTCTTTTTCCCAAACACGCAAGTAAATTTTACATAGACTAACTTGAGGATTAGAATTACGGATACAGATAAAAAAAAAATATTTATATATAGAACTACATATCAAACAAACCCAGTCAATTGCTCCATATTACATGTCTTCGAGACCATGACAGAAAATTCAGCTTACTGCCATAGCCAACACTGGAAAAAGAGGAGGGTCGCGGTTGTACAGTCGGGTTTGTTCTCGACGCACAATCGTGAATTCCGGGTTCGAATCCCCAACGGGACAGAAATGGTTGGAAACATTTCCTTTCACCTAATGCATCTGTTCATGAAGCCGTGAGAAGGTACGCAGGAGTCAGTCAGCTTGTTGTTGGGGTTGCATCCTAGGCGAGGTCTGTAATTCGGCCTTGGGTGGGGTGACCATGATAAATCCAAACGTGTATGAATACACTCTGGCTTCCTGTCCCCGAAACAGTGAATTAAATTATTATAGGAGGTTAGAGTGGTAGTGTCCAGCCACTCTCGGGTCTCTCTCCCTCCTAACTCTCTCCTCTCCCCTTCTCTCTTAATTAATATCTCCCTCTCTAGTCTCCCAAACTCTCTCTTCCCATCTCCCCTCTCTAGTCTCTCAAACTCTCTCTTCCCATCTCCCCCCTCTAAATTTCTCTCCATCTTTCCTCCCCCCCCCTCATGCATTCTCTCCTCCTTCTTAATCTTCTCAACCCTCCCCTCCCTCTCTCAATCTCACCCCACTCTTCCTCTCTCCTCATATATCCCCCATCGCGTTCCCTCTCTCTTCGAACACCCCCCCCTTCTCCCTTCTCATTCCTTCTCTCATTATCTCTTAATGTCTCTTTTTGTCGGTCTGTCTCTGACTATCTCTGTACCTGCCTCTGCCTCTGTCCCTGTATAGTGTTGTCTGTCTGTCTCTTTTTTGTTTGTTAGTCTTCCAGTGTCTCTTTGCCCTGGTCGACCGAGTCAATTTACAGACCTGTCAGTCTGTCTGTCTCTTTTTTTTTTTACTATAATAATCTACCACAGGTGTGTGGGTGGTCAGCTGGTGAGAGGAGCCTAGTGGTGTGAAATATTTAAAGATGTAATTGTTATCCGTTTGCTATCAGAAAATTTATGTTAATTTTCTGAAAAGCAATTAATGATGCTGTAATCTCCATTTTCTTTCTTCAAAACATTTAACTGGGTGTAGCTAGTGGGCCATAATCATCTTAGGGGTCAGAATGAGATCCTGGCATGCTGCTCACTCTTTAATCCTGGCGACTCCAGCCAGCCTATGTCCGTCCCATACCCTAGATTATTCAACCTGCAAAGCTGGATGAGGCAAGCTCGAAGTGATTGGCCTCCATCTTAAGGCAAACACAGTAACATTCTTATAGCTATAAATGGATGATTCATCCTGTCAATTGTCTGCTATAAAAGCCAAATTTTTACTTATCACAAAGTGTCAGTATTTGACTTAAAGCTTGAGCTGGAGGGTGGTTGAAGTATGCAGCTTGCCTACCCTTCTAATTTTTGTCGCATGGTCATAGAATTCTATTAAACCTGAAAGACAAGATTTACCATCTCTGAGCCCATACCAGTGATGTGTTATACAATTCCTTTTGCTAGATGAACAAACGCAACAGTGTAAAGAAACTCTGCTCCTTTGTTTTTGCACCGACTGGGAATCGAACGGGGATCCTTAGGACTGCTGCCGCCACGCTATCCACTTGGTCGTGAGGCTCTCTGTATGTGTGTATGTGTGTGTGTGAGTGTGTGTGTGTGTGTGTGTGTGTGTGTGTGTGTGTGTGTGTGTGTGTGTGTGTGTGTGTGTGTGTGTGTGTGTGTGTGTGTGTGTGTGTGTGTGTGTGTGTGTGTGTGTGTGTGTGTGTGTGTGTGTGTGTGTGTGTGTGTGTGTGTGTGTGTTGGTTCTTCATTACACCCAACAAAGCAAACCGGTCTGGCATCCTGGCAGACGAGAAGAATCTTGCTTGTTGTCGCAAGTCACGTTGCTACACTCTCTGGACACGATGCTCCCCATCCTGTGACCATCCACACTAACACTCATTGCAGACTCTTCCGAATTAAAGACTCGTACAGTGCATATACTGGCAGGCATTTTATTGTACAATGCGGATTGCAACAGCCCAGAGAGTGGACGGCACAGCAATGTAACAGCCCAGAGATTGGACGGCACAGCAATGTAACAGCCCAGAGAGTGGACGGCACAGCAATGTAACAGCCCAGAGATTGGACGGCACAGCAATGTAACAGCCCAGAGAGTGGACGGCACAGCTATGTAACAGCCCAGAGAGTGGATGGCACAGCAATGTAACAGCCCAGAGAGTGGACAGCACAGCTATGTAACAGCCCAGAGAATGGACGGCACAGCTATGTAACAGCCCAGAGAGTGGACGGCACAGCAATGTAACAGCCCAGAGAGTGGACGGCACAGCAATGTAACAGCCCAGAGAGTGGACGGCACAGCAATGTAACTGCCCAGAGAGTGGACGGCACAGCAATGTAACAGCCCAGACAGTGGACGGCACAGCAATGTAACAGCCCAGACAGTGGACGGCACAGCTATGTAACAGCCCAGACAGTGGACAGCACAGCTATGTAACAGCCCAGAGAGTGGACTGCACAGCAATGTAACAATTTGACTTGAAAGTCAACTTGACTTGAAAATCAAAAACCGAATTCATTTGTTAAATCAACGCCCCAAAATAGTTAAAAGCAAGTGTTGAAAATTGGTCAGCAGAAAAAAAAGAGCAATTGTTGGCGAATGTAACAATTACAATAGCAATATTGTTTTTTTTTTATAGGGAAGGGCATACCACCTCTAGCCAGAAGAAGGGGGACCCGTAGCCTTGGAGGAAACCACACATAACGCATTAGAGGGAATGTTTACGTCCACTCCAATACAGTTTCTGTGTGCTTTTCTCCTACCACCCCCTTCCTTTTGTGTTTATAGTAAAGAAATAATAATAATAATAATAATAATAATAATAATAATAATAATAATAATAATAATAATAATAATAATAATAATAATAATAAAAAAAATAATATTAATAATAATAATAATAATAATAATAATAATAATAATAATAATAATAATAATAATAATAATAATATAAGTATTAATTCGTATCATAGGCCCCTACATATTATTATAGAATGTGGGCTATTACTGCTAATTTCTTCAGTTCGAGTTCACTCGAACTGAACTTATTGTTTACGAGTTCACTCGAATTTATTGTTTACAATCAGAGATTGTAATCGGAGAGACTTTTCAATTTTCCTGATAGCATGCAGTTTCCTGGCGCAGCGCCTCATTATTGCCATCCAGAGAGGACATGCTTGCCTTCTCCACCTAGGCTCACACCCCACCTGAGGGACTGAGGAAGTTTTGAAACCATAACATATACTATATTTATACTTATTTAATCCAGCTGGGTATATTAAACTAAATAATTATTTCATAAATTAAGTAGGTGATAAGAAAAGCTACTTACTATATTTCTGTTAAATTCCCAACCCTTCTGCTTCATTCCATCCCCATTTACATGAAATTTATTAAACGTTTTCTTATACCTGACATTTTACTATTGCATTGCTGGTTATGTCAGCTACTTACTCTTTATTTATCATCCCTCACTATTTGAAATGCATAAATATGTTAGTGGTATCCTAAAATATATCTGGGAAGTAGTCTTTCCACTCAGCTCAGTATTCATTGTATTACAGCTACCATGGTCACGACTGAGTAATATTGTGCTTTATGATTAAACGCTAGGTTTTTCTAGAGTAGCTGATTTATCAATTTTGTTTAAATATTGTTACATATTTTATTAATTAGACTCATGCTGCACGTGCGTTCTAGAAGACAACGTTCATCAATTAAAGATAATTATAATCTGCAGAAAATTTATTTTGTCCTGTGTACATAATTCTCCTTAGCATTATTATATTTAAAATACAATAAATAAAGGTGGGTTGAGGTCCATGTAAGTTTGTTAGATGACATTGGGGAAGTTATTGAGGCACGCCGTAGGTTTGAGAAGGAGAAGAAGAAGCGGCTCTGACCCCAGCGGAGAGCTCACCACGGGCAGCGGCAGCGTCTTCCTCAGCGGCGAAGGCGATCTGGTCCAGCACAAACTGGGGGATTGGGTGGGGGAACTCAGGAGCCACTGGCAGCAGGTCAGACTGGGGCTGGAAGCCGTTCTCGTCGGCGACGAACTTTACCTCCACGAAGGTTCCATCAGGAGCAGTATAACTATATATATATGCAAAAAAAAAAGTGTATAAAAAAAGAGAAAGCTTGAATCAATAAGCTGCAATATTTACATAAACCACACAAATTGAAACTATATTTTTTAAAGAAGCAACATTCTGAAATTATCTCCGGTCAGTTCAAAGTACTGATGATGGGTTCGAGGAGGACCCCAAGATATAAGTTACCATATAGAAGGGAAAACTTTTCTGCAGTCAGACAGAAAAAAACATTTGGGCATTATCACACACAATCTCTCCCCTGAGATGCAAAGTACCTAGATAATTTACTCTGCTTTTGCTATGATTGCCTTCAGGTTGTTTAACAAGGAGGACTCGGCATCAATCTCCAGATAATTAATAACAATCCAAGAAAGGTTTAAAGTTTCAGTTGGATGCCAGTTAGGTAAACCTGATATCATCTCATATTGGTGCTTCTACGGTGATCTGGTTGGTAGGACAATAGGATCGCAATTTTCGGGCTCGTGGTCGAGTCTCCGATGGCCGTATTAATGAAATATTGTTACCTATCTTATTGTGCTTTACTCTCTCTCTCTCTTTCTCTCTTTCTCTCTCTCTCTCTCTCTCTCTCTCTCTCTCTCTCTCTCTCTCTCTCTCTCTCTCTCTCTCTCTCTCTCTCTCTCTCTCTCTCTCTCTCTCTCTCTCTCTCTCTCTCTCTCTCTCTTCATTTTCTCCTTGGTAATGTAATATATTTTAAACAAATAAGTAACGATACTCACGAGTATTTCCCAGCTTTCACAACAGCTCCATCTGGACCGTCTGGAGATCCAGACTGGGAGAACGTAATTCCGTTGCCAGTCTCCACGTCAAAGTTGTATCTTCCATTGTCGTCTTGGACACGGTCGTCCCTCAGGATGGGCACCACCTCAACGCTTTCAGGGAAGACAGACCTGCTGGAGGCGGCGGGTGCGCCGTAGGAGGTCTCTGGGAGCTGGTATTGTGGTGCGGCGACAGCCACGGCGGCCACGACAGCGAAGATCACCTGAAAAAAAGTGATATACAATTTTGTTAGATGTTACCGATTAAGCAAAATCGTCGATGCCTTCATAATGTCGACGATTGCAAAATGTGAGACGACTAGTCAACATTATTAGGTTTCAAAAATAGGTTGAGTGGTACAGGATGCATTTTGGAGTTTGAAGTAAGAGTATTCCCAAAGATTCTACCAAGGAGTGTATGACCAGCCCGTTCTCTCGATTTGGCAATCATCTAATATGAAGAGATTCAACCTAATGATTGGAACTCAATTCTAGACAAACCCACGTAACCTATCGAGGCCAATATTCACTACATCAAAAATCCGTACAATCTGAATCCATTTAAATCCACAAAAGCACCTGAGGCTGGCAGTAGCTGCCGATAAGGTCCAAACTAAAGTGCATTAAGTGTGAGGACGTGCAGAGCCCAAACATGAATTCGAAGAAGAGTTGTGAAGTATATGTCCATTGTGTTATAATGAATGATATAACCATAGTGGGCTAGCAAATACTCTTCATAGCAAATACTCTTCAAAATTCATACCGGTGGATTATAATATAACCAAAAACCGGTTTGTTGCATGAAATGGTGTGCACTAATACACCGGACTCCACCAAAGAGTTTTTAAGTTTGGTGTTGGCCTTAAGGCATATAAACTTCTAGAGGGTTATATACGCAGCCATAATAGCTAACTGACCGACCCGTATGTCAATCATTTAGTCCTGAAGATAGTTTTCAGGCCTAGGTAAACCCTCAGTACACTGAGACGCAGAGTGTACATCTCAGTGGATCTATACCTTGGAGAGGACACTCACGAATTTCATGTTGAGTTGCTGGCGGCTACTGATGACTGGTGAGCGAGGCGCACAGCTTTTATACTGATGGTCACACGCTCTGTACCACTTGTTGACCTACCCTTGAGTCCTCGCGATCGGCCCTTCACTCACGGGGTTATTTCCTGACGTCTTTATTCTGGGAAAGTTGATTGCATAATATATGCGCAGTGGAAATAAGTCTCCATTTGGTCCTGATTTATTTTATACTTGGTCTGACCGTTGTTTGGGACGACGTGCAGACAGGGTTTAGAATGTGGTTCGTGCAAATTTAGATGCTTTACAAATGAACACGACGTCCTAGATAGTTAACCTAATTAACATTAAATTATTTAAAACAAAAATTGTATTGGTTTGTTAATTTCATATATATATATTTTTTTATATACAAGAGTTCTTACATTTTTCTACGGCCACTAGCACACGTTGCGTTTCGGGCAAGTCCTTAAGCCTATGTTCCCCGGAATACGACCCCTCCAAATCGTTTGACAACTAGGTACCTATTTTACTGTTGAGTAAACAGAGGCTACAGTTAAGGATTGACGCCCAGTAAATCTTTCCCCAGCCAGGATACGAACCCAGGACAAAGCGTTCGCGAAACGCCAGGAGAGCCGTCTTATCACTACACCGCGGGGACTTAAAATAAATGTTGAAAATTTAAAATTTTAAGTTAGCTTAAAACTTCTTTTTTTCAATTCAACGAAGGAACAATCTAATATCAGGAGACAAGCTAGAAAAATTCTAATGAAACAGTAAAGTATTAATTTAACAAAATGTAATTGCCTACTACTCTAGTATACCAAGGGAGGTGGTATACCAATATACTGAGAGGTGTACCCCATTTATCAAATTCATATATAATTACAGCTTTATTTAATCATGAACTATGTTGTTGTTTACAGTGTTATGTAACTATACTATGTTAAGCATACTTCTTGGTTTGTCAGCAATTGACTTCGGTGACCTAAATAGCCCTCGCTCAGTTGGTGAACCTTAAACGCAATATAAAGCCATTTCGTGCCTGATACAGCAGAGTACAGTAAGCATACATGTCAAACCTGATGCAGCAGAATGGAGTGCACAGTTATGTCAAGCCTGATGCAACAGAAAAGAGTACACAGACATGTCAAGTCTGATGAAACATATGGAGTACACAGACATGTCAAGCCTGATGCAACAGAATGGAGTACACAGACATGTCAAGCGTGATGCAACAGAATGGAGTACACAGACATGTCAAGCGTGATGCAACAGAGTACAGTACGCAGACATGGCAAGCGTGACCCCCCTCCTCATTCCCTTCAAAGGAAAATGAAGAGACTGTGGTTTGCTCATTGTGTGGAGGAATGCCATACGTTCAGGATTTCATGGCCTGCGGCTTGCCCATCTCGGTCATACCTTCTCTCGTCTTAGCAGCACCAACGTACTTGTTTTATCATTAATGATCACACATTCTCCGAGCATCAGAAAGATTCATTTTATATATTTACTGGACAAAATGCTTTTGTGGACTGACACACTGGGACACCAATACTTAATATAAAGACTAAATAAATATTTAAGACATCGCTTGCTAGAGTTTTTTGTGTCCCTAAGATGATAAGGAAGAATCAAGCTCCTTTCCCCTCCCACTTGCTCCTTGTCTCTTCACTCCTGATATATTTAAAGGCTGCAAAAGCCTTTCATTCTACTTTTTTTTCTTCAGTGCCGAGTTTTTTTTTTTTTTAGTTTTGGTAAGAAAATTGGATTCATTTGATCCCATTTAAAATATAGGATAAATAATATCATTATCTTTTGTAGGTTATCGAGTATGTAAAGTTTCAAAATAGAATTTAATTTATTTTAAGAATTTAAACAAAAAATTGTCAAGTTTTAAAATATTGTATTTTTTTTGTATATATACAGTATAATTCTCGCTGACAAATATTGAAACTATTACTGTTATCTTGTTTACTCATGAAAAAAAACAAAAGTTGAAACCAAGCGATGAAGTAAATGAAGAACTAGGAAGGAAGTAATATCAGTGTCTAGAAACTTTATATTGCTAGGGAAGTATTGGCAGAGAGCCGAACGCGTTACTTAGCACTCTAGCTCTTCTTTAAGGTCAAGACGGTACTGTATGTGGTGTGTGTACCTGATGAGTGGGAGTCCCCACCCGCTGGTACTGTTGCTTCCCGAGTACACTGAGTTAGTGAGCGTAGCTCGTGTAGAGATAATTGTTAATGGCCGTAGAGTATGAATAGTTATTAATGGTCATTTAAGTTACGAAGAACTGTTAATGTACTTAATAGTTACAAGCACAACTTCCGGTTCTGAATATGAATTATGGATGTGTGAATAAGAGGGCCAGGAGGAAGGACTAGAGTCTTCTATATGAAAACCTTCTCCAAGAAATATGCAAAGCAGCATCAGATTATACTCGAGAAGGAGAGTTCAAATTATCCACATTGTCCGACAGAGAGCTGCAATTTCTCACTGGCTGAAAATGTATTAATTAAGCTGTTGCTATATAGTTCTGGATTCTGTTTATACTATAATAGTCTGTCTGTCGAATGAATCTCATTCTTAAACATTTTAGGATATTTTATGTTAAAGTACATACACTCTGTATAGAAATATTTGCGATTTTATTGAGTGATGTTTCACTTTATATTATTTATCCGTAGATTTTAGTTGAATCATTACATATTATATATGTAATGATTCATCCGTCACGAAAATTTATTAAAAGGAATAACATTTCATTATTATTGCCAAAAGTCATTGTTCTTTTGCCAATAATATTGAAACTGACACCAACTTATTACCGGTGTCACACGAGGATTTTTTCGCACTCATATATTGAGATAAAACTGCATTTCTGAGCAGGTTGAATAGAATTTTGAAGATGCAAGATGATCATTTTATAAATACTCATGCAAGTTCACGGCAACACTTTCTTGCTGAGAATCAAGTTTTACGATTCATTCCTGGGCTTTGGAACTATATTTGGAGTGACAGTTGGAATGAGACAACGCTTACATTGTCTCGGGAAGGGATGAATCAAAGTTACTGAAGAAGTTGTCTTGAAAATATGCCAGTAAAATTAAGTGATCAAACAAGAAAGGTACAAAGAAGAAGTGAAATTCAGGACGGCAGTTGATGCAGACAATAAATTACAATAAAGAGACAAAATAAGTAACCAAACACTCTTATATGACATGAAAGGAAATGACTATGTTTCGGCTCGTCTTGGACTCTTATCAAGTCGAAACTGATCACTGTTTCGTTGCTTGGGTAATTAGTTGATGTTTTAATTTCACCGCATCAATAAATATGAAGTGCTGAAATAGCCAAATCATTTCGTAATTTAGAAAACCGAATGATGAATTGCTAACATAGGGTTTTAATGCAATAACTTCATTACTGCACTGTTCTTAAAGAACTCTTAATCATTTATGAGTATTTATATCAGATTAAAAATTAACTCATTAACAAAAGGGACAAGGTGAATTCAGTCGAAATATTTAACAAACGTGAAAATATGCATAAAATATATAAATTGGTAACTGATTTTAATTTATATTGCAAATACCAATTTTCACAAAGTATTGAACTTTAACTGTTAGGTAAAACCTTTCTAATAAAAACATTTCTTACAATAGCCCAAAAATTTCCGGACATCTATAGTCGTGGCAATATTTATAAACCTTAAAATTCACTGAGGCCAATAATGAGGTTTAAAGGTTTTGTTTAATATAAGCTTTACAAGAAGATTGTCCAAACTATAATACCAACTACAGGGAAAACCCCGGGAAGAAATATAAAGAACAATCCACAACTTAGTTCATAAATTAAGTAAGAAAAAGGACCTCAGGGATTTCAAGATGGCGAACATTGATGCGGCTTCGTTAATCACTAAAGTCACCATGAATGATTTACTATGATTTATGTATGATTAACTAATACAATATTGTGTAATAAAACATTATTTGCGATTCCGTTACTTATGATAATTAAACAAAATTATGAGATAGTCACTAATGTTGCTTTAAATAATGTATAAGTATTAATATAAATAATGTATAAGGATGCCATTGGCATCCCTTTGTTTCACTCCTCGGTAATTTATTCGTGAATTCCAGTAGTGAAACATTTGAGAAGAATTCTGCCTCATAATATATATAAAGTATGACTGTTTTGATGTTACCGGGTTATGACCCCAAAATAAAATCTGGCTGCGTATGTTGGAGCCGTTTAAGAACTACTGGAGACAGCCTGGAAAATGACTAGTACTGCTAGTGACTTTGGTGAGTCAATACCATCATTGATGTAAATATACAATATTTGTTTCCATAATTAATTTTTTTCACAACTGCATTCAATTCCCCACCAATGAATGATTAAAACTAAAATTGCAAGTAAGTTATGCTCTATGGAAAGTTAGACATTTATGTTTTCGCTTGAATTTATTCCAATAATACTGAACTTCCAAGTCCTGGTTTATAATTCGTAACTGATAAAAACATTACAGAATAAATTATTGCTAAAGCTGGACGGCATGTGCTGAGAAGTTCTCTAAAGAGGCGTGCTGTATAGGAGAGATCGAGGAGTCCCCCTAGGCTAGCAGCCGCCCGGGCAGCGTCTTTTGCAGCAGCGAAGGCGATCTGGTCCAGCACGAACTGGGGGATTGGGTGGGGGAAGGCAGGAGCCACTGGCAGCAGGTCAGACTGGGGCTGGTAGCCGTTCTCGTCGGCGACGAACTTTACCTCCGCAAAAGAGCCGTCAGGAGCAGTGTAACTACTCCTGACGGCTGTAGTAATGTAAACAAATTGAAGCAATATTAATCTTCAGAACACAAAACATTATTGAATGTATCAATAACGAACGAACAATGCTGGCTAAAAGGATTAGTAACTGTAATACACTCTGGAGTATTTTCCAGCTTTCACAACAGCACCATCTGGACCGTCTAGAGAGCGTCTCAGGATGGGCACCACCTCAACGACATTGGGGAAGACAGACCTGCTGGAGGCGGTGGGGACGCCGTAG